TGCACCCAAAGTGAATGAGAGACTCACCTTTTCCGTTACCTACAGTCTAGTCTTTCTCCTACCCCTGGCACATGTTGTCTTACTGTTTAATAGGAAGAGCCTCAGGAGAGAGTCGGAGACCATTCTTAGTTTTGGCAGTGTCTTTCCGCGGAGCTCTATACTATAGCAGATGCTCCCTGGGCCTCTGTGAAGTGACAAAGGCTGCAATTGCCCCTACACCTCCTGGCTGGGAGAGAAAGCCAAGGAGACAATGTCAAAAGGGTTTCCACCTCCTCAGAAGGGGCTGTCTCCTTCCAGAGGTTTCTTCTTTCTAACTTGGGGAGTGTCAGGGAGTTCATGGGGATTAGAGAAGATAATCACACACGATACCTTTTTACCTCCCTGGTCACTGCCCAAGACTCAGTGTAACAGCTTTGCACAGCTCAGTGGGTGTAGAAGATCCTGAACCAACAAAGAAAGCTTGTCTAATTGGTGGACAGGATACTCCATGGCTGTATCAAAGCCCACAACTCCATGGTGGCCCAGGTCCCCAGGTTTAGTCCATCCAGATAGAGCCTGGAGAAATATTCCACTTGCGTGAGAAGCACTGCCAAAAAGACCCTGGAGACAATTTTCCTGATTCCGGGCATGCTGTGGGTTTGGTTGGGTTTTCACAAGTTACGGGGGAAATCAGGTTTTCGTCCAATTTGCCTCCGGTTCTCACATTAGAAGTCAATGGGATCCAACAGAAGTCTCTCTATCTCATCTCCCAGGTCCACAGCCAACACCCAGTTGCCTGGAAAGACTCCAACCTTTTCTACTCGACATCTGTAAAAAAACGATTGTTTTGAATTGGGATGGGTTTTATTTTTTCCTTTATGAGTTTCTTACCCCTAGAGAGTGTCTGAGAAGGAATTACTGGAGGTAATGGAAGGTGTGGATAGATTTCCTTTCTGTCTTCGTTCATTCTGCCCTTTCTGAGACCCACCAGTCCAATGTAACTGAAATTTTAAAGTTTGGTGTTGAGAAAGAAGTCTTCTTTATGTCTTTCAATTATTGGTTTGCTTAGGATTGTCTTCTTTGGGGGTAACTGTCAGCACCTCACACCCAATGAATGATTAATTATGAAAAACTGAAAGGTCTGTGAAGCAATGAAACAGAAGAATCATCCCCGGATTTTCAGAAAGCTCCCAGGCTCACACCCACAGGACTTTGCTGCTTTCAGGCCCTTGGTTTTCAGAACTGGGAGGTCCAGAGTACCCCCAAAAGAATTTGGGAGACAATTGATCCAGGAAGCAGATGAAAGGGTGAGTTTTCTTTTATGATGATTAAGTGTTGCAGGAAGACCTGGCGCTGATTCTAACAGATAGCACACAGGTTGGAGGCAAAGCACATGTTTTCAAGCTCTGTCATAGCTGCACCTCCTTATCTTTTCATTGCGCATAATGAGTCTATGAGGAGCCCTGCCACTTGCCTCCTAGCTGGAGCCTGGCCAAGCCGCCTGCCTGCAGGGGCTCCACTAGTATGATTACAACTCCCATGTTCCATGTTCTCCCTCTGTCCCCCTTCCTCCATCCTGCCTCACCTCTCCCCCTCTAGGATGGGGGAGTCCCCAGGGACAAGAAGGGATACAGAGAGGAGAGGTGGAGAAAGAAGGCTGGCCAAAAGGCTTTAGCTAAGTCAAACTCTTAGCCCAGAGCAACCTATAAAGTTGTTGTGGTAGTGGTGGTGATTTTTTTTTTTTTAAGTAGTTTTTCATCTATATCTAGTATTTTGAAATCTGCTACTAAATTTCTTCCTGGAATCTATAATCTCTCATTTCTAGGGGTAGAACCAGGATACCAGATCTTCTTAAATAGGAGTGACAAGTTGGGGTGGGAAGAGCTGAAGGGATATGGGAGACAGGTAGGGAGTGGGACTCTCATGGACAACCACACACATACACACACACACTCCACCCTTGATGGCCTTAATTTTTGAATTTTCACAAACTGTAACTCTCTGCCCACAGTACTGCTCCCTTTCTCCATTCCTGTGTAATTCCTTCTTTCTTTGCTTCTAACGTTATGCAAGAAGCTCCTTGGGTGAGAGAAGAGAGGAATGATTTGTAGATTGTCCCAGGAAGAGGCATCATCTTGCCAATTTCTGTGCAGCCAGAGTTTCTGGGTCCGCTTTCCATCTGCTTTAGCTAAGAAAACTGCAACTTGAACAAGTGAAGTCTCCCAAATGCACTATGGCATAGCAATTATGATTCCATTTTAGACTTGAAAGGGGGAAAGTCATATGGAAACACACAACAAATGGTGGAGAAAGTGAGTCCCAGAGCAGATGAGTAATTGCTCAAGGTTACATAGTAAGTCAGAGACAGAGTGCAGCCTAGCTCCCTGGTCAATGTTTTCCTTTCTGTACCTCAATGGGGACTGTGGAAAGTTAGGTCTATTATTCAGTTAACATTCATGGGTTTCTACTCTGCAAGGAACCACATTTAGGACAAGAGCTCTCATCTCTGATGTCTCTGATGTCACTCAGTGGGATCTTACCTACAGGAATGCTTCCTTTAGTGATCCATTGTACCATTTTCCCACAGGGATTAAGCACAATTGATTGTTACTTTGAACCAGAAGCTTTTAGTGTGAACCTAAAGAGGTTACTAATGTGTTAAACTAACGCAGCCAAGAAATTCCTGGATGGCAGTGGCATTCCCTGTGTAGACCAAGAAGGTGGTTTAAGCCAGAATCTCCATGGCCAAGAGCTCCCATCTCAATCAGACCTCCCTATCAGAGGGTCTACATCCTGGACTCTTTATCATGTATAGGAATTCCAAGTCACTTGGCTTCACCTTCCCCACCCCCCTGCCCCCCACCCCGGACTTCCCGAGAAGATACAAGCTAGTAGTTGTTCCCAGGATGAAGGCAGGGTGGGCACAGAAGTACTTTCTGCCCTGCCCTTGGACACCTGGAAAACCCACAGGTGGGTGGTTTGTGCCGCTACTGGAGGTAGAGCTTGGAGAGAGAGTTTGGAAACTGCCATGGGCCCCTCAGGCTGCAACTGCAATGGTGGCTATGAGAAAGACGTGTCCCCACCTGTAGGGAGCTAGGCAAAGACTGTCACCAAAGCCACATAGGCCAGCCCTAGATGCAGTTTTGCATGCAGAGGACAACAGAAGGGTGGTAAATGAGTGGGGAACGGAGGAAAAACAGTCCTCCAGATCAGTGGATCCTGAACTAGGTGACTTCATAGGCTGGGGCAGGGGGAGTGAGTAATAAAGAGTTACCAAGTTTTTCCTTTGTGACATAGAGTTTTTAAAACGACTACTTAGGATCACCATTTTCTCATTGAAATATGTGTATTCTCAAAAATGGCAGTCTGATTGGCTACTACATGAACAAGCAAGTTGTTTGCTAGAGAGCCATCAAGGCAAGCAATCACGTCCCTTCAGGTCAAGGGAGTACACGTCACGTTGGTCTACTGGTGAGTGGAAGTGGGCAAAAAGCAGCAATGAAGCTATGGCTGAGTTTGACCACACTCCATAAACTCCTGTGGACCTGGAGATGAGAGAGAGAAGAGGAAGGTCTGATTGGTCAAAAGTGTGGTGAGACCTGGGGATACCTGAGCCTATGGACAAGGACATAGCCACAGCGGGCTAGAGCTGAGAGTGAAGCATCCAGCTGATATGAAGTGAGGGGAGATGCACAAGAGCATTCAAAGTTGCAGATAGAACCTATTTGACCTAAATTCAATGGTTTGATGATCAGAACTCGACTAGAGGAAGATTTAAAAAAAAAATTACAAAGGAAACAAGTGTAAATTTCTACAATTTGATGAACTTGACCTATACCTATGGATTTAGTAGCTCAAAATACCAACTGAAAGGGAAGGAATCTTTACATCATCCCATCCCATCTGTATGCAGGGTTAATAGAAATGGGCACTTAGACATTGGCTACCTAAAATGGTAGGTGTGGGGAGGGAGTTGGCATGAAGTGAATAGCTTACAAATTTTCAAGAGGGAGTTTAGTTTCAGAGTATACAGGGTTAGATAGAATTCTGACTGAATAATTTTCATCTTGTCTAGACGGGTTTGCTGAAAGGAGATGGGGATAAGATTCTTTTGATTCAATAGTGAGTAATTGTTATCATGACTAACTGCAATCATCAGAACTATAAAGGTAGAAGTTTTATAACGAAAAGAGAGGAGTAGTTAATCAGAGGACCCTAGGACCATCAAGGAAGAAGAGCTTGAGTAGAAAGTGGAACCCTATTCAGAGAAGAAGCAACATCAGAGATAAGACGCAAAGATGATGATATGGAGACATAGAGCAACTGAGAACTCTAGACTCAAGAGAAAAGAAAGGCTGTGTGCTGGTGGCCAGGAGGCAGGCTTGCAGAATGTGCCCTTTTGTTGTTTAAATGATTATATATTCCTGAGTGTTTTTGTTTTTGTGTACATCCAAAGAAAAACATAGGGGATAGAAGCAAATACTGTTGAATGATGATGCATGGAGGGGATTGTAATCATTGCAATGAAACAGAATACAATAGGATGAGTGTAAAACCAATGTTCTCCCATGTAAACTATAACTTAATTCACAATAAAAACTTTGAAAACAAAAAAAATATGTATTCTAACATCGAAGCGGGGGTGGATCTCAGAATGGAAAAGAATACATTAAGCTTCATTTTTAAGGTCACTTCAATACCCTTTATGGAGGAAGAGCACACAGTATGAACCCGCACATTCCCCACAATAGTGTTTGGGTGCCAGCGTTCTAAGTAGGTTCCCCGTCCTGCAGATGGGCACCTGGAATGCCAGCTCACCACGTCCTTCCCTGTGACCCTGGCCTGCAGAAAGCACACAGGCAGGGAAATCAGTCCATGAGCCGTAGCCAGATCCAGGAAACACCAAGTTCTTTCCTCTCTGGCTCGTCACTCATCACCTACCTTGATCTTTTCTAAATTTCCATTTCTCTTTGCTCAGGGAGGCCCAGGACTGACATTTTCCTCCTGCTTCCACTTAACAGATTAAAACTGAGGACCTCAGTGACTCCCTGCAGCAGACCCTCTCCCACCGGCCATGCCACCTGTCACAAGGTCCTACCATGATGTCCGGAAACCAGATGTCTGGGGTAAGTGCCAGACTGTTTCAGGGAACCTTGATGTTCTCACTGGGCCAATAGTGAGTTTATTTCAAGACCTCTGCAAAGTTTTCAACCTCAAAGCCTGGCACTTAGTTAATCCATATTTGTCCAAAGAAACCCCTGCAGGGAATGTTAGAGAGGGATCAGGAGGCCTGGGGTGGGCTTAGGGGCATGAAGCATATGCCTTTTAAAGTTAAATCTTGGCTAGGAAAGTGAAGAGATCAGTCCCTGCCTCTCTGGGGAAAAAGTAAGCCAGTGTGCTCCTGGGGTCTGCCAGCCACATGCTGATAGCCTGGGCTGACTGCTTCCACTGCAGCCATGAACATTTCCCCCATGGGGTCATTTTCTCTTCCCTCAGGGTTTACATTAAAGCCAAATGAGGGTGTAGTGTTGCATGGGGAGAAAAAGAGATCCTAAAACAGTAGAGAGTTCATGGGGCAAGCCCCCTTCCTGGTGTGGATCACACAGGGAAGAAAGAGCTACCCTTGCCGGAAATATTAAAGGTTAGAACATACAAGCTCTCCGTCACTTCTTTGTGCAGCATGGGTTGGCCCCATCTTCTCTGTGTGCACAGAGCTGAGCTCAGCCCCGTGGGGACAGAGTCATGGGGTCTGGATCACTGAGGACTCCCAGGTCCCTCAAGCATTGGAATTGGTATTCCTATTTTCTTGGCTGGTGGGAGAAACACAGGGGAAATGGAACGGACTTTCTATTTAACCAAATGGGTTGTACTGCAAACTTATACCTTGCTACTTCACCCATTATCCATGCCATTGTCATTTCAGGAAAGAATCAGGCCCAGCAAATAACTTTTAACATCATCATATAGCTTGAGACTTAAAATTTAAAAAAGGTGGGGCCGCCATTGGAACTACATGTCCTTTCTAGAGCAGATTATTGATAGTTTTGTAATATCCAATCTCTGCCCTCAAGGCATTTTCAAATCTAATTGGGGGACAGGGTTGATACACACCAAAGTTAAATCACAAGGTAAACATTAAGTAGCAGCATGTTGCTAGGCATTGCCTGGCCGATTGCCAAAGCTGTATCACCAAGATTAATGGAGCTATTACTATATGCTGGACACTGGAGTACACAGGAGTTGAAGGTAACTGCCCTCAAACACCGAGTCTAGAGACAACCTTATATATCTGTCGATGGAGGCAGCGCCCCCTGCTGGTCAATTCTCTGACGTCTGTATCTCTGCGCTTGCAGGACATGGCTTCCCTCCATCCGCTCCAACAGCTGGTACTGGTTCCCAGCCACCTTCAGTCTGTATCGCAGTTCCTGCTCTCTCAGACCCAGCCTGGCCAGCAAGGTAAAACCCTGGAGCATTCCACATTGAGCAAGTCCTAAGGTGGGCCAGCTGTTGTTGCTGGGTAGGGGGCCAAGGTGTGAAGCAAGATGGGTCATTCTCGGGTAGTTCCCCTTTTCAATTTCATGGAGAGTTGAGGCTTAAGGTGTAAAGGAGGAGTTAGGGGACAAGGAAGGAGGAAGCTCCTTAGAAATGCAGTCTGTGTTGTTGTTAAGTGCTGAGTCAGTTCTGATCCATAGCAACCCTGTGTATGGTTTCCAAGGAGCGGCTGGTGAGCTTGAACCACTGACCTTGCAAGTTCAAACAGCTTTGCAGTCTGATGCATTAGTCCACAGCGTGTAAGTCCCTGAACTCACTGCCATGGAGTCACTTGTGATTCAGAACAATATTATACAGGGTTCCTGAGGCTGAAAATCTGTGCGAAAGTAGAAAGCCTCTTTCTGTGGGTGGCTGATGGGTTTGCAGATCTTGAGGTTGGCTGTCCGGTGTGTATCCAGCAGCACCATTAGGGCTCCCTATACAAATTTCAGTTCTTTGGAAGTCTCTCCTGAATAAGAACTGACTCACCCCTGGAAGAACTCTGTAATTCTATTTGGGTAGAGCTGCAGCGCCACCCACAGGCTGTGAAGGGTTTTCTTTGGCAAGGAAAGGCACTCTGGTAGTACAGTGGTTAAGCGTTTGGTTGCTAACCAAAAGGTTGGCTGTTCAAACCCAGCAACTGTTTGGTAGAAGATAAATATGGCTGTCTGCTTCTGTCAAGATTATAGCCTGAAAACCTTTTGGACAGTTCTACTCTATCCTCTATGGCACTGTGGGTTAATGCGCCAGACTGCAAAGCCGTTTGAACTGCAAAGTCGGTGGTTCAAGCTCACCAGTCCTTCCTCAGAAACCCTATACAGTCCACGGAAACCCTATACAGGGTCGCTATGGGTCAGAACCAACTTGACGGCACTTAACAACAACAACAACTCTGTCCTCTAGGGTTGCTATGAGTTGAAATTGACTTGCTAGCAGTGAATTTGGTTTGGGTTTTGACAGGAATATTAACAAGCAGGTAAGAATATTCATAACAATAGCTAGCATTTCTTGAGCAGGAGGTTCCAGGAGCTCTGCTGAGTGATTTCCCTGATGTAATCTTCAAAATAACCCTATGTGGTTTGTTGTTGTTGTTGTTAAGTGCCATTGAGTCTCGAAGAGTTGATTCCAACCCATAGCGGCTCTGTAGCGGCTTCCAAGGAGCAGCTGGTGAGCTTGAATTGCCAACCTTGCTATTCAAACAGCTTTACAGTCTGGCGCATTAACCCACAGCACCACACCAGGACTCCAACCCTAGGTGGTAGGTATTTAGAATATGCCTCTGGTGGCCCACTAGAAAGATCCAAAACACTCTTGATGTAAACCTATGCTCTTGGCCAGCACACTGCAGTCTCTACTCATTAGGGCCAAACATGATGGGGAGAGTAATATAATATCTCTCATCAAGTCTATTGTACAAGTCCCCAGTGGAGGCTTTGGAAATCCAGAATTCAAACAAAATTGCAAGTCTCCCTTCATTCCTTGTTGTGAAGTGCTGTTGAGTCGATTGCGACCCATAGTGACCCTGTAGAGGGTTTCCAAGTAGCAGCTGGTGAGCTTGAACCACCAACCTTGCAGTTCAAGCAGTTTTGCAGTCTGGTGCATTAACCCACAGCATCACTACCTGCCAAATTCAGGTCCTAATCTTTAGTTTCCAAGACATTCTGAATATGATGTTGGTAATGATGAGAAATGACAACATACTTTAGAAATTTCCTTTCCAGTGTTTATTTTGGCTAATCAATACCCACCCTATTCCTGGGATAGGAAAGGGAAAAGGAAAGTTAATTCTGTATGTCCTTGGAAGACTGGGGAAGCATGTAGTCCATGAGGTCAGAATATGATACAGGGGAAGAAAAAAAAAAAAAACTTTAAGATTTAGAGTAAAACAAACAAACAAAAACACTGAGTGGTAAGAAAATCATTTACTGGTTACATAGGCTTGTGAAATGTACCACATTGAACTTCCATTTACTCCTCCATAAAAATGGGACAATACTAAAACTTCACCTCACAAGTATTTGAAATAATGCATATGAAAATACTTGATTAAAGTCATCCACTGTAGTTTTTCTGTTATAGCATCACTAAATAACTAAGACATCTGGATATTCCAAGTTAATTCTCTTCCAAAGATAAAAGGGGCTGGTTATCCCTAGTTATATGTCTATATATGTAGGTATGTGTGTATGTATGTATGTATCTGTCACTAACTCAGCCAATCAGGTGAGTCTGGATACTCCGTAAAGAAGATTGTCTGTCTTTGGTATAATGCAAGTCATTATTTAACCAATGAAGCCTGCTGTCTACAATCTTTTTCTGTAAAGGGCCAGATGATAAATGAACTAAGCGTTGCAATCATACAGTCTCTGTTTTAGCTAATTTCCCATTGTAATGGAAAAGGAATTTGTACATTTCAATATTCAGTAGAAATACGAGAAACACTACTAGTACTCGGACCTTCTGACTCTTTGTCGGTAGCTCCTAATAAGAACTTTCTTGCCCATTTGTTTTAATAAGGAAGTATTAACTCCTGCTTCTTTTAGAGTTAGGATCATCATGGCCGGCATCAGCAGGTTTTCTAAATCTGTGACCCCAGACAGCTTAGGGACAGCAGATACACCAAGGTTCTCTGCTGTGCAGGCTGATCAGGGTGACCCATGCCTATTATCTGCTTTGGTGGTTTGACTGCCCATTCCTGCAGTGAGAGGTCCTCGCTGTGTCCCTCCCAAGAGGGAGGCCATCTGCCATGGTCAACAGTGAAGTAGCAGAAAGAGGAAGGAGGTCATCAGGAATTCAACAAACAGATAGGGTCCATGCCACCAGGTGGGGTTTTAGAGACTTAAGCTTCTGAACTTCCCTTCTCACTCAGCCCCTTCCCCCATGTATAAAGTCTCTGGTCATGAGTCTGTGGCCAACAACCCACTGCCCTTTGAAACAGTCTGAACTGAGCTCCAGGATCTGATATCCTTTCAGATTCAGCTGAGCCTTTGCAGCCACCTCAGCTACTTGTTCTGCAAGAACAACTGAAATCTTCTGTTCCAGTTTGAATTCTCAGTAGTCCTCCACTGTGTTTCCTCCCTTCCTGGGTTTCTGCAGCACTTCTGGGTTATCAGATTCCAGAGTAGTTTGTCTTGACCCTCCTTTGCCCCTCTCCAGGTGGGTGGGCAGGCAAGCAGAAGGACAGGTTTGGGGACTGCTGTTTACATCTCTATTGACCTGTGAGTCTGATTTGCCTCAGCCTGTGTGTAGCAATGCCTGGCAGTGCCCATGTGGAGGCCTCTCCACAGGACTTGAGTGGGTTGAGGGACCTGATTAGGTAGCAGGGGGTGGGAGCAGTTATCATGGTTCAGAAGTTATAGAGCATGTCTTTCAGATGGCCTGGATTTTATTTGTTTGTTCCTTTGTCCCTCTCCTCCCATCCAGGTTTGCAGCCAAATCTTCTCCCCTTTCCACAGCAACAAAGCAGTCTCCTCCTCCCTCAGACTGGGCCAGGCCTTTCTTCCCAGGTAAACAACCACATTGTTCCTGTTTCCTCTAGGAATGTCTCAGCTCTTGACCAAGTGGAGCTCAGTTCATTGGTCTCTCTCCCTTTCCCTTGCCAAGACACTGAACCCTCTGGGCAGAGGGAACAGCAGGGGACTGTCCCTGTTGATACATGGGGCAGTACAGGTCCAGTCAGGGGATCCACTTTACCCTACATTACTGATGGTGGGGCCATGGTTAGAGCCCAGAGTCTGATGCCCAGGCACATAGCACTAGCCATGACCAGGCCCTGACATGGCTTCTCTGAGTGCTAGAGGTCAGCTAACTTTCCAGTACACCAGCTCTTCCCAGGTGCTCTCCAGCCACAAATGGTCATAAGCCTGACCTGAAACCACAAGGTCTGGGGTCTTGTCTCTGATCTCTGGACCTCTCTTGTTGTTACCTGCTATTGAGTTGCTCCCAACTCATGGTGACCCTGTGCACAGCAGAACAAAACACTGCCTAGTCCTGGGCCATATCATTGTTGGCAGATCAGACTGTTAGGTGATCTATAGGTTTTTCACTGGCTGATTTTCAGATGTAAGTCACCAGGTCTTTCTTCCTAGTTGATCTGAGTCTGGAATCTCTGTTGAAACCTGCTCAGCATCATAGCAACACACAATCCACCGCTGACAGAGGGGTGGCAGCTCTGCGTGAGACACATTGGCCTGGAATCAAACCTAGGTCTCTAGCATGGAAGGCGAGACTTCTAACCCTGAGCCAGCAATACTCCCTGGATCTCTCTTAAGCTCACCATTCTAGAATTCCTCATGCAGGGGGCACATGTGCAGGTCAATTCAGCTGAGGACTAGGACTGGGAGCTTTGCCAATTAGGAAAAAAATTGCATCTCTTCCTTTGGCCAGCTGCAGCCTCATGCTCAGGTGCTTGGCTCCACAACAGTAGCATGAGCTGCCTCTCCTCCGGTCATATGGGTGGCCCTGTGCAGTTAATGACCACCTGTATGAGATGGCTCTTAGGTAGATGGAAACAGAGCAGAAAGGAATGACTGCAGAGATCACATCGCCACATCTCTGTGGGACGCTCCCTTTGGCTCACTGAGGATCCTGGCCTTAACAGAAGGCAAAGTTGTCAGTTCAAACCCGTCTACGTTCCACCAGAAATAGATGAGGCTGTTTGCTCCCATACATTTTGTTGTTGTTGTTATGTGCCTTGGAGTCAGTTCCGACTCATAGCGACCCTGAACAGGATTTCCAAGGCTGTAAATCTTTACGGGAGCAGAAAGCCTCACCTTTCTCCCGCAGAACAGCTGGTAGTTTCTAACACAGCCTAGGAAACCCTAAATTCTACTCTGTCCTGTAGGACCACTATGAATCCACTAGATGGCAGTGGGTTGGGTTAGTTAGCCCATTGAAGATGCCTGGAAGAGCGAGGGTGCCATCTAGTGGTTAAAAGAAATGAGGACATCAGACTGCTCGTCTACCTCCTGGCTGCCCTCTGATTCTCATAACGATAGATTTAGAGTGGGGAAAAAATCGTACTGAATATTCAAGGTCAGTTCTTACATCTTGTAAGATTAGAGTAGGGAGAGGCTGGAAGCAAAGAGATCATTTAGAAGATTAAGAAGATCTGCCTCAGGGCAGTTAATAAGGGCTGGCTTAGGACTGCAGCAATAATATAGAGAGGAAGGGATGGATCAGGAGGTATTTGGGGAAGCTGAATCAAAGCAGTTTGACAACTCAGTGAATGTGGGGGGTGAGAAAGGATTTTGCCGAGAACTCAACAAGTATTTCTCAAAAGAAGGAACAAATGAATTAATTAAGAGGAAAGCTCAAAGAAGACTAAGGCTTTGTCCTTTGTGTGCCTGACTCAGACCCAAGACAAGTTTAAATTCAACCAATTCTTTTTAAAAAGGCCCTTCATAGGAGAAAAGATTTCTTAAATTCTCTCTGGTCCTTTTTACCTTCGTTGTCCTAAGTATGCCTATCTGAATGGCAATCTTGAATATTTTGCATGAGAGAGGAGGAAAATTAATCCTCATCTATGGGACAAGTGTATGGCACTGTGGGTTAATGCACCAGACTGCAAAGCCGTTTGAACTGCAAGGTCGGTTGTTCAAGCTCACCAGTCATTCCTTGGAAACCCTATACAGGGGGTCGCTCTGGGTCGGCACCAACTCAACAGCACTTAACAACAACAACAATGGGACAAGAAGTCCTGGGGCATGGTGGGTTGCATGTTGGGCTGAACACAATGGCTGGACTCCACTCCATCTTTGTGGAAAGACAGATGGTTTCAAGAGTTGAATTCAATCCTGATGCCATATGGACACATCAAGGATTGTAGGCTAAAGGGTACATTTTCCTATGAAAATCAATTAAGGCAGACTATCTCCTGACCACCATGAACAAGATTAAGGCACATGTTAGATAACACTGGACTACCTTTGATTAACAAGAACAACATCTCATGAAAGAAAATGGTGGTTTTGGCAGTAAAACAGCAGTCATTAGAGTTTGAAATTTTCTGGAACTTTTATTAATGCAATGTGTTCTCAGACGTCCTCTGTTATCTTCCATCAATACCTGCTGAACACTTCAGTTACTCTGCTTTGTGGAAAAGAACAGGCAAGGCAAACTGCCTTTTCCTTACTACATTCTGAGATTTGATTTTGGAATCTGTAAACAACTCTGCTAGCTCCTTTTATGGTGGAAAACTGAAAGGAGGAAGTTACCTGAACGGAATCAGTGAGTCATAGACCCAAACCCAGAAAAGCCACCTCCCTATCCTACACTCCTGCTCTTTCTAGCCCAGCTAGTCTGTGGTGGTTCTGTGCCGTGGAGTCGGTTCCAACTCATAGTGACCCTGTACAGGGTTTCCAAGGCTGTAAATCTTTATGGGAGCAGAAAGCCTCATCTTTCTCCTGGAACAGCTGGTAGTTTCGAACTGCTGACCTTGTGGTTTGCAGCCTGATTCGTAACCACTACGCTACCAGTTTGTTGTTGTTGTTATGTGCCGTGGAGTCGGTTCTGACTCATAGCGACCCTGCACAGGGTTTCCGAGGCTGTTAATTTTTACGGGAGCAGAGTGCTTCATCTTTCTCCTGCGGAGCAGCTGGTAGTTTCGAACTGCTGACCTTGAGGTTCGCAGCCCAATTCGTAACCATTATGCTACCAGAGCTACCAGCTAGGGATAGTTATTTGCTAAATCTTCCTAGGCTCCAATTTCTACTTTTACGTCATGGAAAAATAGGAATTAAATGTACCTTGTTGTTGTGAAGTGCTGCCAAGTCAGTTCCAACCCATAGCAACCCCATATAGGGTTTCCAAGGAGCCGCTGGTGAGCTTGAACTGCCGACCTTGCAGTTCAAACAGCTTTGCAGTCTGGCGTATTAACCCACAGCGCCACACCAGAGGCCATTAAATGGGCCTACTGGTAGGGAACAGCAGAAAGTGCCATTTGACCTGTTGATTGTTTTGCATAAGCTTGGCATGTGTTTCCATTAGGCTGTTGGGCGCTCTGGGCTGCCAAGCTCTTCTTTAGAATCCCATCTGGAAGCATCCCAACACCTCCCAGTGCCTAAACATCTGCCTAGCTCTGGAGGGGCCGACGAACCTAGTGACCTTGAGGAACTGGAGAAGTTTGCCAAGACCTTTAAGCAAAGGCGCATCAAGCTGGGATTCACACAGGTTTGATTTGGGGAGAGAAGCTGGAAGAAATTGAGTTCAGTAAGAGGGACTTGGCTTCTCAAGTGCTGGTGTCAAGAGCATCCTGAGGCTTGATGTATTTAAGGCAAGCCCACAGTGTCCCTGTATTCCCTGAGCAAAGGGCATAGTTGTCATTGGCTGAAAAACTGAGGTCAGTGCTGGGGGAGGGGAGAGAAACTAGAGGCAGGCAAGGGGCTAAGCACTTGAGAATGGCCAACTTAGAGTCTAGGGAGAGAAATAAACCAGTTTTCCATCTTGGAAATCAGCAGACACAATGTAAGTAAGTGCCTAAAGATTTAGGTTAGGTGGGTGATTGGCACTAGGATGTTGGGGGTTGTGGGCAAAGACCAGGAAGAACCTATTTCTCATGTTCGTCCCTCTTGATCCTCATACACAGGGAGATGTGGGGCTGGCGATGGGAAAGCTATATGGCAATGACTTCAGCCAGACTACCATTTCACGATTTGAGGCCCTGAATCTGAGCTTCAAGAACATGTGTAAGCTCAAGCCACTGTTGGAGAAATGGCTGACTGATGCAGGTAAGCCCTAGGGAAATGAGATGGATGGATGCTTCTCCGGAGGATCCTATAGTGAAGGGACTAGTGGCATGGCTGTTTTGGGACCTTGGGGGATTGACACATAACACCTCTTGTCCTCCTGATTCTGGAACTGAGAAGTAAGAAATAGGAGGCAACAAGTAGAGATAAAAATGTCAGCTTTATTGTCGATAAAGCCCTTTGGATGGCAGGGCTTTAGGTCTCTGGCCAAGAAGACTTACCCCTAGTTCCATTCCTGCCCCAGATCAGACAACCTAAACCATAGAACAGCTCACCAGAGACAAAGTTTGGTTCTGCAGAGCAAACTCGCCTATTCATATTGCATCTGGAATAGGTCTAGATCAGAGTTTCCAGACTTCAGCACTACTGACCTTTTAGACTGGACAAGTCTTTGTTATATAGTGCTGTAGGATAAGCACTTAACTGCAGTGTCAGTTTAAATCACAAGGTCGGCAGTTCAAATCCACCAGCTACTCCTCAGAAACCCTATACAGGGTCACTATGAATCAGAACGGACTCAACAGCACTTAACAGCATTTCTTTATTGTGAGGGCTATCCTGTGCATTGTAGGGTATCTAGCAGCAACCATGGCCTCTACCCATCAGTAGCATTTCCTCCCCAATTGAGACACTTAAAAATGTCTCCAGGCATTACTAAATGTCTCTTAGAGGGAGGGGAACAGCATGGCCCTGGCTGAGAACTGTTGGTCTAGATAGAGCAGGAAGGAGCAGAGTCAGTCCACAGGGCTTGATTCCATTCAGTAGACACATGTGGATTCATACTTACTCTGGAGAGGGAGGAAAGTGCAGGGGGAATTTGGGGAGACAGGCAAGAGTGGCATCCTCATGGAAGCTCCTCCTGGTGGAACCAGGAGAGAAAGACAAGGAAATTGCCTCCAACTCTGTCCCTTGGGGGGCTTTTCTTAAGGCACTGGAGTGAGAAAAATTGTCACAGCATCTTAGAGTCTTTAGGAAAGGACTTTTAGATCATGTCTAGTGTGATGTCTGAGTCCCTCCTAAGGGAATATTCCTGCCTATTGCTCATACATGGAACCCTAGGGGCACTGTAAGATAAGCACTAGACTGCTAACTGCAAGGTCAACAGTTCAAACCCACTAGCTGCTCCTAGGGACAAAGATGAGGCTGTCCACTCCTGTAAAGATACAGTCTTGGAAACCCTATACAGGGAGGGTCACTATGAATTAGAATCGACTCAGTGGGAGTGGGTTTGGGTTTTGTTTGTTTAGGGGAGGGTTGTTATTTTGGTATTGCTTATACAGCCTTAGCACTAACACTTCCTATGCCAACAAGATAGCTGTAGCACCAATATTCTTCTGCCAAATGCCAGGGCTTTGCTGCTCAGAACGCCAGTTCACATTTCACTAGCTATTCACATCCAGGCAGATTTACACAAAACACACTCACATGCCGCTGATGTCTGGGTCCCCCCGAACCGTGACTGCAAACACTGAAGACACTGTTGGTGAAGTCATGCAGTAACAATGAGGAGAAGCAGAGTTCTTAGTCAGTTCTTTTCCTCTGATTGAAACCATCATTGCAGAGCCCACAGGTAAGGGTTATTGGACCTCAAGTCCATTAAGACAGGGTCTGAACTGGCCTCTCTGATCTTTCTTTGGTACTCCACTGTCCCACAGAATCCTCTCCTTCCGACTCCTCGGTGAGCACCCCCAGCTCTTACCCGACCCTCTGTGAAGTATTTGGGAGGAAGAGGAAGAAACGGACCAGCATTGAGACCAATATCCGTCTGACTCTGGAGAAGAGATTTCAAGATGTGAGCAACTCCTCTGGGTGGGAGTGGGTGGGCCACCATACACAAGTGCGTGAGCAGGCATGCACATGGTCCCTGTCCCTGGGAAATGGTCAGCAAGCAAAACCCTCTTTGTCTCCAGATGCCCAGGTCACTGAGAGTGGCCTGTTGAATCAAAGTATCTTCTACTTCTTGTCCTGACATCTATTTGTGACCAACAATTCCTTTCACTGAAAGCTTTATAGGAGAGGAAATAAGGTCCTAGAAGAAGGTTCAGTTGAGGAAAAGGAAGCAAAGCCAGAGCATTATATATAAATTTCTTATTTTCTATGCAGTATATTTTATATTCAAAAGTAATAGATTGTAGACAATTTACAAACTATAATGAGGGAGGGGAAAAAATACAAGGAGAGATCTAGAATGAAAAGTATCCACCACCCCAAGTGCACTGTCATTGTCATCTAAATGTGTATATTTAAATACTTGGGACCATATCATACATAGACATTAAAAAAGGCCTTTTTATCTTTACTGTAAATTGAGTGAAGGTTTACAGATCAGATCATCAATTTTACATTCAACAAATCATACACTTCATTTCATCTGTGTTGCAATGCTCTTCATGTAAACATCACTTATCCCACTTCCTCCCTGTGGAGTTCTGTGTGGTGCTGTAGGATAAGCACTGGACTGGTAACCACAAGGTTAGTGGTTCAAACCCATGGAAATTATACACAGGGGTCCCTATGAGTCACAACTGACTCAACGCCACTTAACAACCCTGTGTTTCTTGTTGCCATTCTTCCTTCTTTACCCAGCCCTCTGAATTTTGTCCTTAGGTAAATGCTGCGTTTCTGATCGTGAAAAGTTGACCATTCTATGGTGTGTGTCTTTCACTAGGGTTGTTGACCCCAATATACCTATCTACTTCTTGGCTGGAAAATGAGCTACAATTCCATGGTTGGAATGTTGACCAAGGGCCATTGTCTTGAGGTTCTGCCAGTCTCTTTTTTATGACTTTGAGTTTTGTTCCACGTTTTCTCCCACTCTATCCAGGACTTTCTAATGTAATCTCTTGCAGAACCGGGCGCCATCTAGTTCTCTGGTCTCAGGATGATGGGGGCTGAGGGTCACATGGTCCATTAGTCCATTGGACTAATTGTTTCATCACTCTTCTTTCCTCAGGACACGGAACCACCAGTAGTTGCACCTCATGAGCTTTTAAGATTCCAGTTGCTTCTCACCAAAGTAGGATGTAGAACATTGTCTTTGTGGACTTGATGTTGGTGTTAAGTGGACTTTGTTATGGCAATTGACCATAGTATACACATGCTTAAAAAAAAAACTTAATGCAAATGCATATTCTTGAACCATTATGTGGAAGCTAATAATACCACATATGAGCCTGGTGGGAGTTGGAGGAGAGAAGAAGGGAAAACAGGTGTAATCTGAACAGCATCTAATTCGAATCCCTTAGGTACCAGCCTCTAGAGCCTCCATCCTCAGCACACAGGCCCCTGAAGGGCTGGTCCATGGCCACATCTTCTCACCAGGCTGATAGGAACTAAAGAGAAGTTGTAGGAGGATAGGAGGATGTAAAATCAAAGACTGGATGAGTGAACAAGGGAGTGAACTTTACATTGTATATATGTGTCCTACAGTCTTAGGACACTGTGTTTTAGCTTTATCGCTATTTTATTCAATGAAAATGGGAAGAAATGACAAAGGAGAAGGAGTAGAAACAGATGGGAGCATGGGTTCTGGGGATTCTGGCTGCCCTACACAACTTCTAAGTGGATGCCTCGCTTCAGAACTGCTTTGCAAGGAAGAAGTGAGAGAAGAGAATGGACATTTATGGAGCCTCTGCTCTGTGGCAGGCCCTGTGTTTGCCAGTTCATACACAGTTCCTCATGTAAACCTCACAAGAAGCCACCATGGCAGTCATTATTATTCACATCTCATGTGTGATACAACAAAGACTTTTGAAGACATACAGTCAGTGGAGAATAACATCAGCATCCCAGCCTAAATAACTCTACAGCCTATCTATTGCTCTGTCCTGCTTCTTTGAAACATCTGTCCTCTCCCCTTCCTTACTCCTGGTCACTTCGCCTCCTGACTATACTCCGACCCTCCTCTCCCTGTAGAACCCCAAGCCCAGCTCAGAGGAGATCTCCATGATTGCAGAGCAGTTGTCCATGGAGAAGGAGGTGGTGAGGGTCTGGTTCTGCAACCGTCGCCAAAAGGAGAAGCGAATCAACTGTCCTGTGGCCACACCCATCAAATCACCCATCTACAGTTCCCGGCTGGTGAGTGGCCAAGAGCCTGCTTGTCCACCAAGCACTTGGGGACGTGTTGCTGGAAGGCAAAGGGTCTTCTCCATTGGAGGAAGATGTGGCTAGAGGACTGAGGCAGGCATGCAGCAAATTAATAAGCAAATAAAGTCAGTATATAAAAAATATAGATAGTCAGTTCCCAGGTTAGAAATGTCTGAACCCACCCCCATAAAGCCTATTATATTAAAAATGCAAGGTATGTACAATATTTCGTAATAACAAATGGGCACAACTTTGCAACATACATTAAAACCTTATTATTATTGTATTATGTTAAAGATATTTGTGTGTATCCAGAATGTTTCTTTAATGTTTTTTATGCATGGAAAAGTACATTATATGCTAAGACAAACATTTGGCTGATGTCAGAAACAAATCATCCATGACTGTTCCAACTTACATACATACTTACCTTAAATAGGCTTAGGAACGGAACCTGTTTGTAATCCAGGGACTGCCAGTGACGTTAAGAAGAATAGCAGAAGTGTAGGGGGACAGAAATTGATGGAGGGAAGATGCCTTTTAAATGGAGTGGTCAAAGAGGAGACCTCTCCAGTAAGTGACATTTGAACAGATCTAAATGTTCTAAAGAAATGAAATATGTGGATATCGAAAAGGAGAGAGTGTTCTAGGCAGAGGGATGGGCAAGTGAAAAGACCCGCTAAGTATGACAAACAGCAAGGAAGTCAACAAAACAGACAGTGAGAAAGGGGGAGAGAAGTAGGAGGTGAAGGCAGAGAAGTAACAGGGACCAGACTACCTAAGATCTTGGAGGCCTTTGGAAAGACCCAGAATTTCAAGTTTGAGAGGATTGGGAAGCTGTTGGAAGTGGCTACACAGAGAAGCGTGATCTACTACATTGGCTGTGCTGTGGCAAGTCTGTGGAGGTGGAGAGCCTCGCTAGGAGAATGAGGGAGATAGTGGCAGTTACTTGGGCTATGATGGTCATGGTGTTGGTAAAAGAAGGAGTACATTATGGATGTATTTCAACTGGAGAGCCAACTTCGGACATATTCTCAGAAGGGACCATTCCCTGGAGAAGGATATCAGGTTTGGTCAAGTGGAGGGTCAGAGAAAAAGCGGAAGACCACCACCAAGATGGATTAGCACAGTGGCGGCAGCAGTGGGCTCAGGTATAGCAACGATTGTGAGGTTGGAGTATACCAGGTAGTGTTTCATTCTGTTGTGCATAGGGTCACTCTGAGTCAGTACCAACTCAGTGGCACCTAACAACAACAACTATACAATGTGGCGCTGTATGATCAGTACTGGACTGTGAACAACACGATTGGTAGTACAAACCCATCAGCTGCTCCTCATTAACCCTATGGCAGCTCGCTGTAAGTTGGAACCAACTTGATGGCTTTTTACAACAACAACTATATAATGAAGGAGCCCTGGTGGCACAGTGGTTAAGTGCTCAGCTGCTAACCAGAGTGTCAGGGATTGAAAGCCCCCAGCTGTTTTAAGTGGCAGTCTGCTTCCATAAAGATTTATAGCCTTGGAAAGCCTATGGGGTGGGGTGGGAGGGAAGTGCTGCTGTCTACAGAGTTTCTGTGATTTGAAATTGACTCGATGACAATGGGTACATATATTGGACTTTATTCCAAGTCCTGGAGATATCAAGAGGAATATTTGTATCCTGCCCCAGAGGATCTCAGTACCTAGCAGAGGAGAAAGACAAACAAATGATAAACAACATGATGATTTTTGCAGGAGAACTTAGGAGCAGCAACTAACTGAGCCTTGGGTGGTAGTGGTTAGGGAAGACTTCCCCAAGGAGATAATTAATACCTGAGCTGAGTGTAAACGGACAAGGAGAAGTGAAGAGGCAAATAAGGAGGGGTGGATGAGGACAGTGCTGTGAAACAGGGGAAATCTGTGTCACATGCAAGGAACTGCAAGTGTTTTTATGTGGAGGAGTGCTGAAAGATGGAGCTAGAAAGAGAAGCAGAAGCTCAGTTGTGAAGAGACTGTGTCAATGTTAAGGAACTTGAAGGCTTTGGGGAATCATGGGAGGATTTTAAGGCTGGGCATTGACATGATCAGATTTGCTTTTTAAAATTATCCTTCTGGCTGAAGTGTAGAGGATGGTTTTGAGAGGCACAAGAGTGCTTATAGAGAGACAAGTTAGGGTGTAACTGCAGTTATCCAGAAAAGAAATAATGAGGGCTGAAGCGAAACCATATGGTAAGGATGAGGGGGATAGAAGAGATTCAAGAGATAATCAGAAGGTAAAATTATGTGGTCTTGGGAATTGGATAGGAGCAGAGTGGTAACAAGAAAGAATGCTCTAGAATGGCTCTCAGTTTTCAGGTTGGGTAATGGTGATGTCATCTATGGAACAAGCTAACACAGAGAGGAGCTGAATTGGGAGAGGACAAAGTGATGGTTCAATTCTTTACATCACTCATGTATAGTAAGGCCTGTGGCATACCCAAGTGTAACTCTTGGAATTATGGGGCTGGAGGACAAGAGCATCACAAGTATACAAGTGGAGTAGTTGAAATTCGGGTTGAAGAGGAGCCCACCTATGAACTTGGTATAGAAGAAGAAGAGAGGAAAGTCCAGGTCTACACCCTGGAGAGTAGCAGCATTTGAGAGATGAGCAATGGGAGAAGAGCAAGAGAAGAAAGTGAGGAGGAGTCAGAAGGTCAAGAAACTGTAACCAAGTAGATGTAAGAGGTGATGGACAGGGAGGAACCCTGTAAGGGCACGATGGGAAACCACTGAAAAATACCTAAATCAGATGGCGCCAGGGAGAGCTGACCCATAATTTGACAAATTAGGAGTTTGCAGAGGGAACAGTCTGTGAAACAATATGGAATTATAAACCAACATGATGTATTTGGGGATTCATAAGCATCTCAGTCTGGATGGAGCCAAAGGTTTGGAACTATGATTTGTAGAGATTGATAAAAGCTGAATCATGATGGGCCATGAATGATAAATTTCCTTAAAAGCTGTGAGGAACCAGCAAAATTGTTAGGTGGAGACAACATAATAGCCATTCTTTCATTCCTTTCTTAAATATTTATGGAACACCCCTAGAAGCCTCATGTGGTCCTTTCTTATAGTCTAGTAGGGAAAACATACATCAAACAAATGTGATTTGTGATGAAGGCTTTAGAGAAGACGCACAGGTAATGGAGTGACCTCACCTAGTCTGGAGAGTCCAGGGGGTCTCCCAGAGGAGTGAGCAGACTGAAAAAAGGGAAAAGGGTCCAAGTCAGGAGAGGGGAAGAATAGGTGTAGAGAAGAACATTCCAGGCAGAAGAAATGGTGTGGACAGAGGCCCGAAGGTTGAGGTGGGTAGGGCGGGGGAAGCATAGAAGACTGGAATGAGCTGGAATCCAGGCAGTGAAAGAGAGAGTATGAACATGGAGGCTGGAATGGTAGGCAGGGACTGGAGAATGTGGGTCATGGTATAAGAACTTTGGGCTCTCTAAAGATGGGGCTTTGTTTAGAGCAGATGGGAGGAAGGTTCTTGCTTTGGCTCAATCCCAACCCAGGACACCAACATGGAGATACACAGTGCGAGGCATTACGGAGCCATTCTTTATCTTCATTCATTCAACACATGTTTACTGAGCCCCTGCAAGAGGTCTAGGCCCTGTAGCAGGCACTGGGGATACACGAGTATTCTGCTCACAAAGCCTCCAGTCTAGTGGGAGAGAAGGGCATTAAATAAATAATCCCATCAGTACTTGCCATGGTGCCATGAAGGAAGAAGATAGTGTACCACCAGGGAGAATAACAAGCCAGGACCCAGTCTTCAATTGCTTCCTCTCACCTGCCTAAGTTTCCACTCTTTGCTGCCTCACCTAAGAAGGCAAGGAACAAATGTTCTGTCTTCTCAGGCCCCACACACCTTGAAAATTGGACATGGTTTCTTCAGCTTCTGATATAAAAGAATTGCCACAACATATGGTTAAACAAATCAATTAATCAAAGTGCAAAATAGTGCAGACTTCTGTGGGCAGAATGCTACCATTTCTATAAAAGAAATGGAAACAGATCTTGCATATGCATGCATAGTCTGTCTCTGGAAAGAGTCAGAAGAAGCTGGTCACAGTGACTAAATACATGATTTAACCACAACACTACATTTCTTGGGTGTGGCAGCAGGGAGAGCCCGGGAGAAGGGGGAGGGAGATTATTGATAGCATCTCGTACCATCCTGCCACCCTTCCCAAGCAGTGCCCCACACCCATCTCCACCCTTCGTGGGCCCCCAGCCTACTGAGGAGGCTTCTTATAAAAGGAAAGGTAAACGACAGAAGTGAGAACCATTGCTGATTAATTAGAAAATTAGTACATGCTGCATCCTGTTAAGATGGGATGTTCCAAATTGTCTGCGTGGGGACAGAGGGAGGTGGATACCCAGCCACAGTTCCCTCAGCAGAGCTCCCTTTCACTGGAGAACACTGCTCTGAGCGTCCCCTCTTAGCCTGAGGAGGATGGTGATGGTTGTATTAGTGGAGTTGGTTCCAACTCATAGAGACCCTAAACAGGGTTTCTGAGGCTGTAAGTCTTTGCAGGAGCAGAAAGCCTCATCTTTCTTCTGCGGGACAGCTGGTAGTTTCAAACTGCTGATCTTGAGGTTAGCAGCCCAACTCCAATTCGTAAGCACTACACTACCAGAGAATAGAGGGTGAGAACATCTGCCCAAATGAAGAGTTCAGCAATGTACTGAATACTACAGCAGTAGGCAGCTTCCTTCAGAAAGGAAAGGAGTGGACTCTCAGCAAGCTGGAACTCTTCACCAGGCCTTAGGTTGGAAACTTTATGAATATTATTAGCTCATTAAATTTTTGGGTTTTTTTTAAGGTTTCCAACCTATTGACTGTTTTTTTTTTTCTTTGTAAGTTTTTATTGTGAATTGAGTGATAGTTTACATGGGAGAACATCTGTTTTATACCATCATTTCATTGCAATCATTACAATCCCTCTGTGCATCATCATTCAACAATATTTGCTTCTACTCCTTCTGTTTTTTTTTTTGTTGTTGTTGTTATCTCATTAGATATTGATTAAAAGAAAATACAAAGGAGGCATTTCTGCTCTTTTACAGATGAGAACACCAAGTCTTCATGGGTTACATAACTTGCCCAAAGTTATTCAAATAGTTCATGGTGGAGCCAGGCCTCCCACGCAGATCTGCCAAGCTCCAGAACCTATTCTTTCTATTGCATCTTGTTGCAGGATAACATTATCGAAGGGGAGAGTCCTGAACTGTGTGAGAGGTGGCACTCAATTTTTTTGTATTCCAAGTTATCTCAGTTAGCGATACTATGAGACAAAATGAAAAGTTTCAGAGACCAAAGCTCAGCTCGTCCAGTTATCTCTGTAGAGAGCAGCCCCAGTGATCAATCAGTCTGGGAAAGTTCAAACCAGGATCATTAGGGGCTAGGCAGAGGCAGGAACCTTTTCCTGAAGCTGTGGCATTGATTCCAACTCATGCTAAGCTCATGTGTGTCAGAGTAGAACTGTGCTACATAGGAATTTCAGTGGTTGATTTTTCAGAAGATCATTAGGCATTTCTTCCAAAGTACCTCTGGGTAGATTTGAACTGCCAACCTTTTGGTTAGCAGCCAAATGTGTTAACTATTTGCACAACCCATGGACTTCAAGATTCTCATAGGAAGGAAGAAATAGGGAATGGAAAATAGGTAGTCAGTGACCAGTATCTGGCACAGTGGGGTCTAAGAGGTTTGTTCCTATCATCATCACCAGAGCCCTCAAACAAAGCAGCCTTCAACCTGGCAGTGCCGGAACACACAGGAAGGGCAGGAGAGGGTGCCACGGCACAGGGAGCTATGGAAAGGACTGGAAAAGGAGCTGGATGCGTATGCTTGACCCTGAGGCCTTCCTGTGAAAGGGTGGATGGAGAGTGTACATTTGACACTCAGAAATCACCCAGGAGGCCGTGCCCTGGTCCCTGCTGAACCAGGGACTCAGCATCCTAAGCGAAAGGTATAGGACTGGAGAAGGAAATGAGATGACATTGGCAACTTCTGTTGTTTTTCAGGTCTCTCCCTCGGGATCTCTGGGTCCCCTTTCTGTCCCCCCTGTCCACAGCACCATGCCTGGAACAGGTAAGCATTAAAAGGAAGTTTCTGAATGGCACAGAAGTCCTTGAAATAATGAGATGCGAGACCTTAAAGGCTCCTTCCTAAGTCAGCATTCATTCAATGTACTTCAAAGCTATCAGAATCTGTGCTGGGAAAGAAAGGGTTCCATGATCAAGTTTGGGAAACACTGAGTAAACAAAGTTTAAGCAAGTGCTTGTTTGTTTTGTTTTAATTGCAGCACTTCTCAGTATTCATGTGCAGTATACATTCCTAAATGAATTCTATGCAAGGCTAAAGGCAAGCAGAGTCTTCTAAATCAATTTTATACAGAACTTTAGTTTTCAAAAAGTACCTACAGCATTTCATAGAACTTGTGTGTCACCCAGGAGAGTCCCAGTACTTGTCTCTTGTCCTGATATATCAGTAGCACCACCATACTGCTCTTCAAAGTGTCTTAGTTTGGGTAGTAAAATACATCCTTGCAAAAAAGGTCCCTGGGTGCTGCAAACAATCTGTGCTTGGCTACTGACAAGAAGGTTGGTGGTTTGAATCTCTCCAGTGGTACAGCAGAAGAAAGGCCTGGTGGTCTTCCTCTGAGGCCACAACTTTGACAGCCCTAAGAACTACAGTTCTGCTAGGCACACACGGGGTCACCATGAGTCAGAATTAACACAACAGCAGTAGGTTTTTGGTTATCCATGGTTGAACACTGGGAATCCCCAACACAAGAACTCAGTGTAATCCAATTCTGCCATTTAATAGTGGAAGAAAATGAGTTTCAGGGAAGTGAAGTAAGTTGCCACAAGCCACAGAGTTGCTTAGCAATGAGCTGGGACCCAGATGCAGGTGTCCTCACTCTAAGTTCAGAGCTCTTTCCAGAGGAGCCTGTGCCTTTACTCTGTAGAGACAGGAAAACTAGAGAGGCTTGTACATTTCTTACTTCCTCTTATCCTTTCCTAGCTTCTTGTTTCCTTGTCCCCTCCCACTGCTTGGTCTGGGGCTGCAGATGCCCAGCCCAGGGTGTGTCCTGGAGTAGGACGATCTTGGCATGCATCCTTTTGTGTTTGGCAAGCCTTGGACTTGCAGAACCAGTCCTGTCACTCTCTTAGGCTTATGATGCTGCGAGAGATGAGAGCCCCTGGGTGCAGGCCTTGATGCTAACTAACATGGTTGGAGGTGGATTGATGGGTGGGGATAGAGAGAGGGTAAGATTTCTTTGGGGATTCACAAGGAATTCAAGTGTCTGCAGGCCAATGTCATTAGGTCCCCCGACCCAGCAGCATTATTTTCCCCTTGTTTTTACCTCTCCTCCTCAGTCACGTCATCCTGTTCCCCTGGGAACAACAGCAGGTCTTCATCTCCTGGCTCAGGACTCCATGCCAGCAGCCCCACTGCATCTCAAAATAACTCAAAAGCAGCAGTGAACAACTCCAGTTTTAACTCTTCAGGGTAAGATGGGAGCCAGAGTAAGTGGGGACAAAGGTACAGCAGTCATCCCAACAGGGTCAAAGGGCATGTGAAAAGCTGGGTCCGTGCTGTGGGACTGGATGGAGAAAATAGGGTGGCAGGGGGTCCCTACAGAGTGGGGATTTAGCCAAGAAGCTTCAGCCAGTGAACAGTCCTGGCAAGAAGCTGAGGACGACAAAGCCAAAATTTCCATCCTCCTTTCAAAGGTGGAAATTTCCAAACACTCCTGTCAGAAAAGGCCAGTCCTTCACTGGGCTTAGGAGGGCTCCACTTCATGCCAGAAACCCAGTTCTTCAGGATGTTCTGAAATGAGCCTAGTGCTTAGGCACAAAGACAACACTGAAGTCAGAACTCAGCAGACACAGAGAGAGGAAGCAAGCTGCACTCTCTTCCGCTCCCACCTGGATGCAGCTGGTGGAGCCACTCCCGAGCTCAGGATCCAACAAATCTACTCTAAAAAAATAAATAAATTCTCAGAGCGGATGCCCTGATTTGGAGAAAAACAAACTTAAAAGTAAGGAGTTAGGTTAAAGCTCTGAGCTTATCCCAACCAAGGCAGTGCAGCAAGGAAGCCAGCCCTGATTGGCCAATTGTCCAGCCCCAAAAGTTGGAGCTCCTTATTTAACTCCACCAGAGGAAAAAAAAAAAAAAAAGAAAGGAAATCATATGCATTAGTAGCCATTCAAAACTTTTAAATTGAGATTTAATTCACATACCGGAAAATTCTCTATTTTAAAGCGTACAATATAGTAGATTTTAGTGTATTCACAAAGAGGCACAGCCATCACCATTCTCTAATTTCAGAATCGTTTCATTTCCTCTCCACAAAAGAAACTCCATAGTCATTCTGCATTCTCACCTTCCTTCTTCACGCTACCAACTTTTTGATTAACGTGTTTCTTTCTTCCTTCCAGATCTTGGTATCGATGGAATCATCCCACCTACCTCCACTGAGACCAAAAAATTTCTCCTGCTCCACCTGGCCCTGTATTCCCCATTGGAAGGGAAGGGAGTCATTCCTTCGATGTATGGACAGATTACTTTAAGAGAAGTGGAGGAGAATCCCCATTACCAATGAACCCACATTCTTGCCTTCTTCAGGAGCGAGGGCCTCCCCAGATCCAAACTGTGATTGAACCATGTTCTGACTCTTAATGCTCTTGAAATATATATCCCCTCCTATGGGCTTACCATTTTCACCTTCCTTGCCTGTGCCCTTGTCTTCTAGTTCTAACCATTGTAGATGGCTTCACCATAGCAATAGTCTTTCAAAGAAAAGACTTCTTAGCCATTCTTCTTCAACTCGTTTATAGGTTTCTGGGACAGCCATCTGCTTGGCATGTGAAACTACTAGAAAGGGAGATAATGGTCTTGACTCTGAACTTTGTCACAATTTCTGAACTTATCCCAGAATCTGTGAAAACATTGGAATTTAATGTCTCCACCAAAGCCTAGATGTTTTTTCTCTGTTCATCAAAGTTTTCTGGCTGAATACTCATTTCACCCCAGTTTGCCTTTAACTTCTTTTTTTCTAAAACTAAACCCATTAATTTTACATTCTCAAAGTTCCCATTTCTTTACAGAAGTCTGAGCTACCCTTGGTCCCCTGGGCACATTTCTCTGCCCATAGGTGCTCTTCTGTCCGTAGACATCTGCCCCAGAGCTCAGGAGCTCTTGTGATTTCTTTTCCTCTCTGCATTTCTCCATATCCTGTCCTTTTTCCCTTCTCCTAGCTGCAGAAGGAAGAACACAAAAGCAAACACACAGCAATTATGCTGGCAGAATATCTGTATATAACCCTGCCCTGGTTTGTTTGGTTTTTATTTTTATTTTTTGCATTCTGTGATGCTTTCCTTCAGGTGGAGTTTTTAAGAAACATGTTTAACTCAGGTGTGAAATTTGAAGATGTCTCTGTAATATTTTATCTTCTTTTTAAAAAAGAAATGAAAAAATATCCAAGTGTGTAGGGATCTTTGTTGATGTCTTTGGGAACATATCTCCAGAGTCTCCATCATGGATTGAGTTGTATCACCAAAAAATATGTGTCAACTTGGCAGAGCCATGATTCTCAGTGGTTTGACAGTTATGTAATGATGTAATTTGACAATTGTGTAATGATGTAATCATCCCCCAGAGTGTGATCAGCCAATCAGATGTAAGGGGATTAGGGTGGGAGGTACCAGCCTTGTCAGGTTGCAGCCCTGGTCTGAGTTTCCCTGAGGTATGGTCTGCATTACCTTTTATTTTACAAGAGATTTTTTTTTTAAAAAAAAGGAAATCTAGCAGAGGAGGCAGGACCTCATTACCACTAAGAAAGCAGGGCTGGGAGCAGAGTGTGTTCTTTGGACCTGGGAGTCCTGTACTGAGAACTGCCTAGAGCCAGGGGAGGGGAAGACTGATGCCAAGACACATGGAGATCTCCAAAGAATTCCAGGCCTACAGATGTTGAAAGGAGACAAGGGTTTTCTTCCAGAGATAATACAGAAAGCAAGCCTTCCCCTAGAGCTTGTGCTCTAAATTCAGACTTCTAGCTTCCTGAACTGTGAGAGAATAAATGAGGTTGTTAAAGCCATCGCCTTGTGCTATTTCTGTTCATTAGCAGCACTAGATATCTAAGACAGAATTTGGTCTTAGATAGTTAATAGATACCTAAAATGTGGAAGCAGTTTTGAAATTGGTTAATAGGTTGAGACTAGATGAGTTTTAAGGTGCCTAATAGTAAATGCCCAAATTGCCTTGAAGAAATCACTGGTGGAACCAGGATGGCAAAGGCCATTCTGGAGAGGGCTCGGAAGGAAGTGTGGAGAAGTGTAACCCTGGACTTGGTGTAAATGGCAGGAAGCAGTGGCAGAGAACCTGTGGCAGTAAAACCCGGAGATTGGCCTAAGTCAGCGCAGTAGCTGACTCACAGAGCAAGAGAGCTGAACACCTTCAGGCTGAAGCTTACTGGTGAGGTGGGGGGGCTAAAGAGCTCTAAAACTTTGTAATGAACAGGACAGGGGCCAGGCTGGCTCAAGAGGCCTGAGGGACCAAGAGGTCTAGAAGTCAAGGAACCAGGAAGCAGAAGCTGAAGTGACAAAAGCTTGGGAAGCAAAGTTGCATCAGTCTCATAGGGTAAGGGTTGCAATGGATGGGGCCACAGCTTCATAGTTTCAAAGAGTCAGATCTTCACCAACAGGGTTCTGAAGTGTTTGACTGTCATTCACAAGTGCCAGGAGAATGGGGCTGAGGCCACTGCCCAAAGCTGAGGGAATGGGGTTGTCATGCCCAGGGAGCAAAAAAAAACAAGGCCTACCAGAGCCAAGATGATGGTCACCACTCAGTTGAAGTAAGAGAATGGGATCACGCAAAGCCAATGGAGCAGAATCGTAGTCCCAGTGAGACTGGAAGGTGAAGCTAAATCCCAGGACTGAGGGACCTCCACCCACAATCCAGATAGCATGAGCAACACCCAGAGTTTAAGAGGGCAGAGCCAGTGCTTAGAAGGTCTCAGAAAATGGAGGATTGTTTTCAAGTCTTGAGAGTGAATATAAATTGTGCTACTGGGTTTTTTACTTGCTTGGTGCCTATTATTCCTTCTTTGTTTCCAGTTTCTCCCATTTGTATGGAAATGTCTACCTGGCGCCCCTTCCACCATTGTACTTTGTAAGAAGATAACATATATTCTGTATTTCATAGGTTCATAGATGAACAGGAACTTTACCCCAGAATAGAATTTGGGCTTGAAATCAATTTAAGACTTTTCAGATGATATGAGGGGGCTTCAAAAGTTCATGGAAAAATTCCATTTTTTCCATGAACTTTATGAAGTCCCCCATATGATGGGGCAAAGTGTTTTGCATGTGACAAGCACATGAATTTGGAGCAAGGGGGAGGATGGAATGTCATGGATTAAATTGTGCCCCCCACCCCCAATATATGTCAACTTGATTGGGCCATGATTCTCAGTGATTTGTTAGGTGGTCCTCCCCAATCAGTTATAAGACGATTAGGGTGGGATGTAACACCCTATCAAGTCACAGCCCTGACCTGATGACCTGGGGTGTGGTCTGCATCACCTTTTACCTTACAAGAGAAGATGAGGCAGAGAAGGTGAGTCCTCAAGACCACCAGGAGAGAAGAGCTAGGAGTGGGGTGTATCCTTTGAACCAGGGTCCCTGTGCTGAGAACCTCCTAAACCCAGGGGAAGCTTGATGCCAAGACAAATGGAGATCTCCAAGGGTCACCAGACCTACAGATGTTAAAGGAGACAAAGACTTGCCCCCTGAGATGATGGAAAGAAAGACTTCCCCTAGAGCTGGTGCTATGATTTGGGGCTTCCTCTAGCCTCCTAGATTGTGAGAGAATGTTTCTGTTTGTTAACAATATCTACTTGTGGTATTGCTGTTACAGCAGTACTGGATAACTAAGTCAGTCTCCTCCTCTGTGGACCAATGTATAGAGATGTAACATGAAGCCATTCTAGAAGCAGTAAGTTTTTAAAAGATTGCATATCCAGGAAAATGTTGAGAGTCACAGGAAATGTTATGTTCCTAAATAAATTTGTATCATGACATATGAACTATTGAGCTGTTGATAAGAAGAGGTGTCTTTTGTTGGTTGGGGGAATGTTAGTGCATATAATGCAATGGGATGGGAATAATGTTTCAAATTAGTGCACTCAGCTGATTGCTTACATTGAAGGCAGAATGGGCAAGAGATTGGTTCATGTATACAGTGCATACACGTCTGTGTTCCTCCTTGTGTACTCATGGATGCCACGGCCTACCTGTTGCTTCAGTGATCCTAGCTACTATGACATCTTGTTCAGGTGAGTGCTGAAATTTGGTCTCTTGCACGGTCCAAGACTCTGGCTTTCATACATAGGATTTTTATTTATGTCTAAATGATTCTGTTAAACACTTAATTCCAATGAAGTTTAAGTTTAGCTTCTTCAGCATTTAATTGGGCACCAGTAAATTTGGTACAATGGCAAGTGATCAGTGTTGTTTCTGTTTATCAATTTTTTTTTTTTTTTTTTCCATACGTTGATCTTGACTCAAGACTGGTGGGCTCAGCTGCAAGCTCCTGAGACTGAGGATTTGTGTCCAACTCAGTATGAGCTTAGTTCCAGGACTCCAGTTAGGAATCCTCCCATGAGTCTCCAGAGGTCCAGATTCACTCTGCTTCTTTCATTGCATGACAATCTCAGGTACGGAATCTAGTGATTCCCCTAGACTGTGGTGGGGTCCTGTAGTTACAGCTGTCATTTCTCCATGCTTAGTATTGTGACTAGCACATAATAGGTAATTCAGATTTTGAAAAATCAGAAATTTTTTTTCTTTCGAAATCCTTACCAGTGCCCCCTCACTGAGGTCAGAGGTATGCATACAGGGGAATACATTACACACTTGTAGAAGTTTCTAGTCAAGTGGAAGCAGCAAATCTTGGTGTCTAAGAGCACGTCCTCCATAGATTGCTTAGTTTGTACCCAACTCTGTGTCATACAAAAATGTGTCACCTTGGGAAAGTTCCTTGACTGTTCTATGCCTTAGTTTCTCACCTCTAAAGTGGGGATAACCAAAGTACCCTCCCCATAGAATTATTGTGAAGATTAAATATATTAGTATATATAATGTGCTAGAAAAATGACTGGTACATAAAAAGTAGACTCTTAAGTGTTCTCTATAATTATAGTCCTGGTGTGGTGCTGCTGGATAATGCACTAGATTGCAAGGTCGCTTTCAACCACAAGGTCTGTGGTTCAAATTTATCAGCTGCTCCTTGGAAACCCTATACAGGGTCACTATTAGTTGGAATCGACTCCACGGCACATAACAATATTGCCATTGTTATTAAAGCAAATTGGTGGGGAGAATTTTTTTTAGTGGATGCCACTGCTGACAAAGATCTACTTGGTGACACAAGGAATTACGAAAGTTTAATCCCAGGTAATAAAACTTAAACCTGGAATC